AAATAAATCTTTAAAAAAAAAAAAAAGAGAGAGAGACAAAAAAGTTGGAGGGTGGGATTTGCACCACTGCTATATAGTATAGTTATAGTAACCCCAGGGCTTCCTATTATGATGAAAATGCATTTAAGTTCCCTTTAGCTATTGTGGGAAAACAAAGTTTTGAAATGCGTAGTATGTCTAGAGGATACATATTTCTACTGAGAAAAAAATGGGTTTTTTTCTCCAGTAGTTCAGCTCTTCTATTGAACAGTTCTTCTGTTGAAAGCATTTTTAAAAAATTTTTTAAAGATTTTATTTATTTGAGAGAGAGAGAGAGAGCACGAGGCAGGGAGGGGCAAAGGGAGAAGCAGCCTCCCCACTGAGCAGGGAGCCCGACACAGGACTCAATCCCAGGACCCATGAGATCATGACCTGAGCTGAAGGCAGATGCTTAACCAACTGAGCCTCCTAGGCGCCCTTGTTGAAAGCATTTTTATATTTATAGTTGACATGATTGTTTTGTTCGAAAGTGGCAAAAGATTACATAGACGACATTCAGGAAAATACTTTTTGAATGAATATGAGTATATAAAAGTATTTTGTTATGTATCAAAAAGCCAAGCCTGAAGCAAAAATGGCTTGGGTAAAACAAAAAGTATGATTGTGCCACAACTTTTAGAAAATGTGCTTCATCTATAAAGGCAATATAATACAGCCAAAATTCATATAACAAGCATAACTAATTCTGAAAGTCTTTTTATACAGCAAGTTTGCACCTTTTTTCCTCTCATGTTTCTTTGTGACATTTTTCTATGAAAAAATAGGTTATATATAGTTGTGTATGTTACTGGATTGTCAGGCTGTACCACACATGTCCAGCTCACTGTTGGTCATATCTAGTGTGCAGCAACAAAGCAGTGAGCCTCCCATTGAAATGAATGGAAATGAAATAGAAACCAAAAGAATAGTAGGATAAATCAACAAAACTAGGAGCTAGTTCTTTGAAAGAATTGATAAGATCGATAAACCCCTGGCCAGACTTATCAAAAAGAAGAGAAAGGACCCAAATAAATGAAATCATCAGTGAAAGAGGAGAGCTCACAACCAACACCAAAGAAATACAAACAGTTATAAGAACATATTATTAGCAACTATATGCCAACAAATTAGGCAATCTGGAAGAAATGGATGCATTCTTAGAGATGTATAAACTACCAAAACTGAACCAAGAAGAAATAAAAAACCTGAACAGACCCATAACCAGCAAGGAAATTGAATTAGTAATCAAAAGTCTCCCAACAAACAAGAGTCCAAGGCTGGATGGCTTCCCAGGGGAATTCTACCAACCATTTAAAGAATTAATACCTATTCTTCTGAAGCTGTTTCAAAAAATAGAAATGGAAGGAAAACTTCCAAACTCTTTCTATGAGGCCAGCATTACCTTGATCCTAAAACCAAAGACCCCACCAAAAAGAATTAAAGACTAATATCCCTGATGAATGTGGATGCCAAAATTCTCACCAAGATACTAGCCAATAGGATCCAACAGCACATTAAAAGGATTATTCACCATGACCAAGTGGGATTTATTCCTGGGCTGTAAGGGTGATTCAACATCCACAAATCAATCAATATGATACGCTACATCAATAAAAGAAAGGACAAGAACCATATGACCCTCTCAGTAGATGCAGAAAAAGCATTTGACAAACTACATTATCCTTTCTTGATTAAAACTCTTCACAGTGTAGGAATACAGGGAACATACCTCAATATCATAAGAGTCATACTCAAAAAGCCCACAGGGAATATCATTCTCAAAAACAGAGCTTTTCCTCTAAGGTCAAGAACACAACAGGGATGTCCACTCTCACCACTGTTGTTCAACATAGTACTGCAAGCCCTAGCCTCAGCCATCAGACAACCAAAAGAAATAAAAGGCATCTGAATTGGCAAAGAAGGCAAACTCTCATTCTTTACAGATAT